CTTTGTAAAAACTTCAATTGAATTTCAATAAAGTTAAAGGCATGGCCTCACCGTTAATATTTAAAAAAAAAAAAAAGATTTATATATTTATAATAATATTGCAAAACTACAATAGATTAATTAAAAAGAAAAGTAACACAAATAAAGTTCTTGCAACTACAATTTTTAGTTTCCTTATGTATAATTTGTAGTTTTTTATTTGGATTATCATCAGAAATACTTTTATATGTACCATAGTGATGGCAGTACCATCATGCTGTCTATTGATTTTTTTTAGTACTACACAATTGGTTTCAATGATAATGTCTAACATAACTCAGTTTGATTTTCTCAAAATCCTTAATCTATATTATATATCCATCAACTGAAAGTAAATAAGTTTTTATTCTTTTAGTTTCTAATATCTTATCATCATTTTCAACTACTTTCCACACATGACCAGTACCATCCGTTGAATCCAAAATAGAATTAAATACATCTGTATTATTGTTATCTATATTCATATTAACTTTCTCAATTTCATCAATATCAAAAAATTCATTGATATCAAGAGATATTGACATGATAAGTGATTTTTTAATGCAAGTAGTAAAAAAAGTATGCAATGATCATGTGTCTGTATAGTGAAAGTTTTAAACAAAAGAAACGTTCAAGATTTATTGCAATAAACGCTTTAAAAATTTATTTATTTATTTATTATCTTAACATTAAGTTTTTTTAAAAACTTTAGTTCTAATAAACTATGAAAGCAAATGACGATCATCTAAGCCACCTGATATAATTACGTAATCAATTTTGGCCAATCAGAAATAGGAAGATCATCATCCAATCAGACATTGAGGGGTAAATTAGTAAAACCCGTTGTACGTTGTACAAACTCCGTTCCTGGTAATCTTCTAAAGTCTTAATAAATTTAATCTTTACTAAGATTTTTAATATTTGTTAAAGGTTTTTTCTTTTACTAATTTCATTAGAACTTTATAGTTTTATTGTATTTTTGCTATTTAACTAAAATTTGCCAGTAAATCATATATCTCATATTTGATTTTCATAGCAAAGACCTCATATGTTGTAACGTAACATAGCCGGCTTTTGTTGTGATTGGCTGATTTTTGCAGATCATTTCGTGACATATGCGGTTAATCGATAATCAAAAATCGTTTAACGTTAAGCTAATTTAACTTGGCCTTAATAAAACATTACTACGACATCTCATAATTAAGAATCATTAAATACATACACGAATTAAAAAAAAAAAATAAATAACGCAAAAAACAAATCAAAAACATCCAAATTGATCTTAATCAAACACTCGTTTTATTGACATCAAACTATTTGACAATAATAACCTTAATAATAATCAACGTAGTATCACGTCCTAATCTCGAAATTTACAAACCTATACTTTATTACTTCGCGTCGCTATGCTTGTTACTAAATTATTTCACTACTTCGTGTTGCTAGGCCTGTTACAAAATTATTTCGCTAAACTATTATACTGACGTACATGTCTTGGGCTTATAAATAGTCTTTCATAAACAAATTACTAAACTTAATAGATTTGTATTTTATATTTATGACTTATTGGCAAAATTGAAATGTTCAGACATACCTCTCATCTAATTTCCGAATTACTTCGCGGTTTGCCGAATTACTTTAATAGTTTACATAAATTAGCCAATCAGAATGAAACCCGCTATGCTGTGTCATGTAGCAGTATCACGTATCCATTTCATATAGTCAGTAAAAATAAAAATAATGTGCGTACGTCTGTGCATACATTTTTTTCATATACAAAAAATCATGAAAAACACATCAGAAGAATGGCTTGAAAAAGCTATTTCCGAGGGATTTATTAATAAACTTGAATACAATAAATTTACAGACCGCAAAATAATCGTCACCGGTGGCTTTGGAAATGTTTTTAAATACGAATGGAAAGATAATGATTTAACGGTTGCTCTTAAATGTCTTAAAATCGATACCGAGGTAGAGTTAGATGAAAAACTTGTCAAAATTTTATTAATGAGGTAATTATATTAAAACTTGCATTACTCCTGGTAAATATTCTAGTTTTATTTAACCGTAATCTGAAATTATAGCTTAAACTTTTACGAAAAGTCGATTGCCATCCAAATATTATCAGGTTCTATGGGGTCACGAAAGGTACATAGATAACTTAATATTTCCAAATGTAAAATTTTAAATGTTTGATTTGTACCGTAATATTAGTTATATATAAATATATAGATAATAATGGGAATTATAATATGATTTTGCAATACGCTAATGAAGGGAATTTACGAGAATATCTAAAATCAAATTTCTCAAAACTACAATGGTCAGATACCTTACATATTGCTGAGGATATAGTGCGGGGTCTTTTGTTTTTACATAATAACAATATTATTCATAGAGATCTTGTAAGTATATTATTTGATATATTTATGAGTTCTAATCACAGAAACTCATGTTTGAAATATTTTATAGCATTCGAAAAATATTTTAATTCATCAAAAACAACCAAAGATTGCAGATTTTGGACTTTCAAAACATATAAATGAAATGTCCATGACTTCAAATTCAATCGTTCATGGAATGCCGGCATATATGGAACCTAAATGCCTTATCGACCATAAATATAAGCGTGATAAAAAATCTGACGTCTATAGTTTTGGAGTAGTCCTTTGGGAAATTACAAGCGGAAGACCACCGTTTCAAACCTTTGAATCACAAATGGCACTCTGTTTTCACATTTGTCAAGGAAGTAGAGAAAAACCGATAGAAGGTACACCACCTATGTATATTGAGCTTTACAAACGCTGCTGGGACAGCGACCCTGCCAATCGTCCAGAAGCAAATGAAATTCTCAACACATTGAAGCACCTTATCCCTAACGAAACTTTGAGTCAACACCATACCATTGATGCATCAACTCAAAATAGCGGTAATTCCTCCTCAAGTCGGCAAAGTAATCTGACCACATCCGTTAATTTATTCGATGTTACTACTTCATCTCCTCTTTATTTACCTGACACAATTAATACTACCATAACTTTGAGTCAACACAATACCATTTCTGCATCAAATCAAAAAAATGATCCTTCCTCAAGTCGTCAAGATAATCCAATCGCTCCCGCATCCGAAAATTCGTTCGACATTACGACATCATCTCCTCTTTATTTGTCTGACACAATAAGTTCAAACACTTCGATACAAGAAGGTAGCATTGAGGATATGAGAAAAGAAGCCAAAGAATGTTTGGATCAAGGCAAATTTCTCAAAGCATTAGAGCATTACGAACAAATTCTCAAGGACAGTCAGAATAATGATGAAGATCAAAAAAACGCTTCATCTTGGTATCTTTCTCGTAAATGTGGATCGGAAAAAATAACCGAGTTAATAAAGGCACTTGGCAAGAACTCTACCTTAAAGTCTTTAGACGTAAGAGATAATAAACTTGGATCAGATGTCGGAAAAGCATTGGCTGATGTACTTTGCGAGAACACTACCTTAACGTCTTTGGACCTTGGTGGCAAATGGCCTTATTATAATAGAATGGGATCAGACGGAGGAAAAGCATTAGCTTATGCACTTTGCAAGAACACTACCTTAACGTATTTAGATTTGGGATGGAATAATTTTGGATCAGAAGGAGGAAAAGCATTAGCTGATGCACTTTGCAAGAACATTACCTTAACGTCTTTAGATTTAGATTCGAATAAACTTGGATCAGAAGGAGGAAAAGCAGTAGCTGATGCACTTTGCAAGAACACTACCTTAACGTCTTTAAATTTAAATTCGAATCATCTTGGGTCGAAAGGAGGAAAAGCATTAGCTGATGCACTTTGCAAGAACACTACCTTAACATCTTTAAATTTAAATTCGAATAATCTTGGATCAGGAGGAGAAAAAGCATTAGCTGGTGCACTTTGCAAGAACACTACCTTAATGTCTTTAACTTTATGCCATAATGGCCTTGGATTAGAAGAACGAAAAGCATTAGCTGATGCACTTTGCAAGAACACTAGCTTAACGTCTTTAGATCTTTGGAATAATAATCTTGGATCTGACGTCGGAAAAGCATTAGCCGATGCACTTTGCAAAACACTACCCTAACGTCTTTGAATCTTAAAGCAAATAATCTTGGATCAGAAGGAGGAAAAGCATTAGCTGATGCCCTTTGTAAGAACACTACCTTAACGTCATTATGTCTTCGATCGAATAATCTTGGATCTGATGTCGGAAAAGCATTAGCTGATGCACTTTGCAAGAACACTACTTTAACGTCTTTATGTCTTCGATCGAATTATCTTGGATTGGAAGGAGGAAAAGCATTAGCTGATGCATTTTGCAAAAACACTACCTTATCGTCTTTAGATTTAGGTTGGAATAAACTTGGTTCACAAGGAGGAAAAGCATTGGCCTATGCACTTTGCAAGAACTCTACTTTAACGTCTTTAAATTTAACTTCGAATAATCTTGAATCAGAAGGAGGAAAAGAATTGGTCAATGCACTTTGCAAGAACACTACCTTAACGTCTTTAAATCTTTGGAATAATAATCTTGGGTCAGACGTCGGAAAAGCATTGGCCGATGCACTTTGCAAGAACACTATACTGAAAGAATTAGATATTCGTTATAATAATATTGGTTTTACTGTAAAATCTAATAATTCAAATATTAAAATAATTCAACAGTAATAGTATTAGATATAAACGGAAACGTTATTGTAAATATTTAATTTATTTATGTTGTAAAAATGTAAAACGAATATAATTAAGTTTAAATAAACTGTTGAATAAAAGAAACAGTTACGTATAAGTAGCTGCGCAACGTTGTCGCGCGAAACCAGGAACGGGAGAAATCTACACAGACACCATTTCAGTCACGGGGAACCATATTCTTCATTGCAATCCATTCCTGGTATAAGAAAATGACTCTTTATAAAAGAAGTTGATAGTACATGCAATCTGAATATTGGTTTGAATTTCAATGACTGAGTCTAAAAACCTATTAATGAAGTCAATGTCTGACTGCTATATATTTGGTTAGCTAGCATCACTCAGTTCCGATGAATCTGACCCAAAATTCTGGGGCCCTGCAAAACGTATATGTATTTAGAAATGATCTACAAATTCTTTCGATTAAGTCTTTGATGATCAGTGATTATCATTTTATCAGCCTGATAAAAAATTCGATGAAAAAAAATGAAACTTAATTTAATAAGAAAAGAGACTGAAATTTGGTATCACAAACAACATATTGGCAAAAACTCTCTATTTGGATTTATAAAAATCTTATTTATAAAATAGTATTGAAGTTGATGGCTTTTTAACAAACCATTCTGAACAAAAAACAGCTGTATAATTAATGCAAGATAAAAATATTGAAGAATAAGTTATTATAAATATTATAGGGCATCAAAGCATTAATACATTACAAAAATATAAAATACCTAATGATCAATAAAAAATGAATACATTACAGAACTTTATTTTTACTTATGTCAATATAACTAATCAAGAAATTTCAAATAATTAACTAATTCAAGATCTCAATA